GATAAAAAAATATACATACACGTATTTATTATTTAACAGTTCTTGAAAAAATAGTTATTAATGATACAAAACCATTAACTCGCGTCTTTAAAATTACAGACAAAAAAGAAACACAAATAATTTAAACAATGGATAATTATGTTTAGTAAAGTTATCCGTTTTTTAAAGTAAAATACCCATACCCTTTCCTAACTAAAAATATTTAGCAATTTAGTGAATATAACTAGTGCTTTATAAGTTCTTTCATACATGTGAAAATTATATGTAAAATTGAATTCCGTTTTATTAAATGTGTTTATTTGTTATAAATTTCGCGCAAAGCTACACGATGGCTATCTGCGCTAGTGTCCCTAATTTAGCAGTGTAAGACTAGAGAGAAGGCAGCTAGTCATCACCACCCACTGCCAGCTCTTGGGTTACTCTTTTATCAACGAATAGTAGAATTGACCGTCACTTTATAACGCCCCCACGGCTGAAAGAAAGAGCATGTTTGATGGGACGGGGATTCGAACACCCTAACCACCTGGCCATGCCGAGCCTGTTTATTATTATTACTATCTATAGTTATTTAGCTACTATTTCTAGTGACTATAGTGAATTCGTATCACTAGTTTATTTAACCTATACTTTAATATTCAGCTATATAAGCATAGTGTATGGATGTTGCAATGATTATTATGTTTTGAGAACAACTTTTATAGGACTCCAAAATCGTTGCTATTGTTTTAAGGTTAAAGTGAGATGGTTCAAATAATCCAAACTCACTCTAGTCCCTTCGAAGAGTTTCATATCATTTTGTACGAAAGAAATTAGCAGTTTATGTATTTATTCACATTAAAAATCTAACGCTTATTTGTATGATGGTAGCGCCATCTGATGTTTGCATCTAATATTGAAGTATCGTTGACTGCTGACAACACGGATTAGAACAAAACAGGTGATAAATACAACATGTAATTTTTCCTCTTACACCTGCAGGTGATCTAGATTATGTCTCATGAGTTATCTCTTTTGATCAAAACATTTGTCGAACTACATATTTGATTACGTGTGCGTGCGTATAATATTTATTAAATTTAATTGACCCTTAAAATAGATACAGTAGGCTTTCTAAGCCTACAAAGCAAATGGAAACTATGCACACCGAAACTCAACATCAACCTGCAAATAATTAAAATATCAAAAGAAGCAACACCGATAAAGAATGTACTTCTAATCATGTACCTGTATTATGTTTTTATTTTGATAATTTACTGCCGTCTAGGGTCATTAGTGGAAATTAGGTTTGTCTAAATTGCAGCACTTTGGCACGTCTTCTATAGTGACTGATTCAAAACACTCTCGAGGTAATACATCCTTTAATAAAGTAGTTTACTTCAAGTTTATTGACCTCTAACGTATCTTATGAGGATACTAACAGTATAATTTCTATATGTTTTTATTTACATAAGCATGTCAACCTTTGATAACAAACAGATATTTGAAAGTTAAAAACTATGTAATATTCTCAGCGCTTTATGTATTTGACGTAATGTCTATTGACTGATACATTTTTTCAGACGTTGTTCACTGTATTTTGTTGTTGTTGTTGTTCAAGAAATGCGCGCGTACTATTATTAGGTTCAAAATTATTTTTCAATCTGATTGGAATGTTCCTGAAGTAATTTCAGGAAACTTGAATCTGCAGTTGGTATGGAAGAAAATTTACACTTTCATTTTCATGGTAGTATAGCACTTAATGTATACGTTGATTATGTAAAGTTAGATATTGATTGTTTAAGCTATTTTAAATTCATTAATACACGATTCTTACTGACAATAATAATAAATCAGGCCCGTATGCAGAATGTTTGAAGGGGAGGGGTTCTAATTTGTGAAAACAAAAGCCAACACATATCGTGCGAAACACAATCAGCATGCTAATACTATTGGGGTCTGGGGGCATGCCTGCAGAAAAATTGGAAAAAAAATAGGTGCTATGAGATTAAATCTAGAGGTATTTTTGCACAAAATAAAGCTTAAACAATTGGATGACTTTTCACATAAAATCCACCAACATCCATTGAAAAGTCGACAAATCATCATTCTGCTGTAACACTGCATGGAGAGCTAGACTTATATTAACATAAATATGTATGTTTTATTATAGTAAAGTACTGTACTATCTACATACAGAGCAGTTATTAATGGCTAAATTATATTACTAATTTAAACAACTGTGTACAACAATAGTATATTAGCTTTTTCAGTCATTGGCTGTCATATACGTACATGCATGCACTACTGAAATAACGTGGTAGCATGCTCCATTTTTCTGGGGGTGCTTTTCATTAAATAACTTACATCCAGTTTCAATATTGATAGCAGTGTCATAATGATTGTGTATTAAACCTAGAGAACTCAGTTTTTCTTCGGTTTGTATTCATCTCATGCAATTATTCAATAGGCGGAGAGCCGATGCCGAACGTTCACATGAACATGGATGTAGTGGCAGTGTGGCAAAGAGTTTCAGTAACATGAAGATATTTGGTACACTGAAGCACTGGTACACTGTATTATGTGGAATGTTCTAGACTTCTGTCAAGGTATAAATACGCGTCGAAAGATTATTATTTAGATCTAGAATGCGTGATTGTGAGTTTATCGATAAAGAGTGTATAGCGGCAATTTTTAAAGTGAAATCATTACAGACTATATTGTAATAACAGAGCAAAGAAGAATAATTCGTTTTGTCAGTTGTATTCTAAATTAATTGTGTGGACTTTGACAAAAAAAAGAGATAACTATTTAAAGCTCTAGATACAACTGTGATGACCAACAGACAAACGAACATTTGTATATACATTTGATTTGTTTTAATATATTATTTTAAAACAACTGATCTGTGTTGCTGTTCGTTTATTGTTGAAATTTATCACCAATGAGTCACAGACACCTACGATAAAGAATCCGGCCTACACAACCTGACAGTATCAATAAGGCTTCGGGTTTCCAATTACAAAGTGTCAACAGAAGCCACTGCATGCGACTATTTCAAGCCAAAAAATGCTAATGCTTCATCACGAGAATGTATAGAAAACGTTGAATACCATAAGCAGCTGCTATAACAATATATGTATAATTTTTTACATCACTAAAATAGAGGGTTCGACCAAACTTCCTCGACCCCCCTCTCCCTCTGAGTACGTGCTTGTATATATTACTTCACTTTTCAGATAATTATTCCATCACTTCATATTTTTTCATAGTCACTAATGAATCTTTGAGTCTTCAAATTTTGTTAAAAAATGAGAATTTTGGAAATGTATTAGGTATTGATTAATTAATTATTACGCTTACAAGAGAAAAAGCCCGATTAAACTTCAGGAGAAAGACAGTAGATGCTTGTTTGTTGTTAAGCGCAAAGCTAAGCAATGGGCTATCTATGCTCTTCTCACCACGAGTATCGAAACCCGATTTTTAGCGCCATAAGCGCCTTAGACTTACTGCTGAGCCCTTGTCTATAAAGGGAAATGTAACAATTAAATTATTATGGATTAAAAGGTTAATTATAATGCAAAATAATAAATTAAGTAGTAAAATTGTGATTAACAATCTTCATTAAAACGATATTTTCATAAAGAAAAACTTAAAACTAGAAAGCCCTTGTTTTAACCCAAAATCAATATAAGACTGACAGTGTATAATTCAAATATAAATTTTAAAAATAAAGATTATACAAAAAAAGATTCATTGTCAATTCTTCGGTAAAACTTGTGGAGAAAAGTCTACAAGATATTTTTCGGATATTTAAAAGAACCTGTGTTAATAAAGGTTAATCAGAAAGTCGATAAAAGATAAAATCATTATTGCCAAAACAATGTTTTTAAAAAACCTTTTCTTTGTCATAGCTTTATTCTCTAAAATTGCACGTGCATATAACAGTAAATCAGAATGAGGATTATTGTAAAAATTCGTACAAAAATCAAACGATTTATTTCGAAAATATTATGAAAAATAAAACTCCCGATCCTAACTGTTTTAATACAGAGGCTACTTTGACGCTTTCATAATTTTTAAAATATTATTTTATCACACATTGTCAGTAATCCGATACATACGAATGAAATATAAAACAGTTAATCTTATGCATGTAGATTTTATAACAATTAATTTTTAGTTGAAAAATAAAAGGATGATCATGAAAAAAATTATGTCTTATTCACACACGCACACATACATAGTTTGTTTGCTTGTAGTTATGCACAAAGCTACACAATGGGCTATCTGTGCTCTGCCCATCATGGGTATCGAAACCGTAGACATATCGCTGTGCCATTGTGAGGTACACATACATAGAAAAAATATTTTACTCCAAGTCAAAGTGAATTATTTTTAAGAAATTATTAATTGTTATTTAGGTTTTAGGAAAACCTATTTAGATTAAAAGGTAAGAAAGGCTCAAATTTGAAAATGTGAAATTATTAGACAGCGAGAAAAGCCTGTGAAATCATTAAATCAATGGTAACATGTACATATATATATATATATATATATTTGTCTGAAGTTGAGCACAAAGCTACACAATGGGCTATCTGTACTCTGTTAACCACGGGTATCGAAACCCGGTTTCTAGCGTTGTAAGTCCGCAGACATTCCGCTGTGTTACTGGGGGGGGGGGCATATATATATATATATATACACACACACATACACTATTTATTTGTAGGTAACTTTGTAGCTGGCCCTTTTGCCAGCCATATTTTAATATTTTGTAAATAAGAAATAGCATTGACGAGTCTATTTTTTGAATTGATTAGCTTGCTTTGTTTCTCTTAACCTTATACTATTAATGGCTGGAGACGGCTTGAATGGGTAATGAAGAAAAACTTCAATATAAGTTTAACATAACAGCAAATGTACAACGTTTCGACAAGGTTTTGTCATCATCAGGTATATATACTATACTACATCATTAGCCCGGAAGGGGACACTACCGTTGTTCCAGGTTCCTGTCAGCTGACGTTTTTTTAAGTCACGATATAAATTTACGCAATTTTACTTTTACTGTTTTAGTGTAAACAAAGCTAAGTTTATAAAATTATTTACATAAAATATGAGAAACGGTGAAGGTAGTTTACCCTATACTACTATGTAATATTAGGTATTTATAATTAAACAGTTGTGTATAAATTGTTTTATTTGGCCTAAGAAATTTAATTATTAATATTATTAAGTTGTAGTTGTAATAAATTATAAGACAAATTAGGACTAGGGTTATAGCGTAGATGTTCGAACTTGCATAATTGCGGTTTAAACGTGGAATGTTCTGACTGAACTTAACTAAAGTCTAAAGTTGTGGACACAAGCCGAATGAAGTGAGCGAATAATCGAGATCTTTCTCAACGGTTCTAGCTCTCCAGTGTTTGGTGGCTAACGCTTAGAGACCCGAAATAAAAAGAAAGCATAAAACTCTTTTAACTTACAAATATCGCTATCAAAATATCCCATGATGTCTTATAAATCAAATTAAAAATATTTATTTCCTTCAGAATTAAACCTGTTATTGTTTTTTTTTGGGGGGGGGGGGGGGGAGAGGTTTAATTGTTAATGTACTTTCCAATGATACAGTTACTACCTGATTGAAGATTAAAATTAAAAATATACAACGTGTAGGTAATTTGTAAGCCTACTTTGATTAGTTTGAAAAACTATGATTATATGAATAGTCATGACAAGGACGCTTGGAGTTCAGTTCTTAAAATAAATTGAAATGTAGCAGATTACATTCGAAGCACAAAATTCTTAAATCAGTATTATATTTTCCAACCATTAAAATGTTTCAATTGATTTAAAAAACTAACCAGTATGGTGGATTTAAAATAGAGTCTTTGGATCAGAATCTCACAAATTGCCCAGGTAGTTAGGGTGCTTGATTCACAACTTGTGGGTTCGATTCCCCATCACACCAATCATGCTTGGCCTTCCAGCCATGGGGGCATTATAATATGATAGCCAATTCAACTATTCGTTGGTGAAAAAGTTGGCGGTGGGTAGTAATGATTAGCTGCCTTCCCTCTAGTCTTTCACTGCTAAATTAGGGATGGCTAGCACAGACAGCCCTCGTACAGCTATATGTGAAATTCAAAACAAACCAAAACTACACAAATTGCTAAAAGCATGAATTCCAATACCATCATATGAAGATTAAGAATCCAAGGATATCAGAATACCAAGAAAGGATATGGCCAGTAAAATGGACACAGGAAGAATATGGAATATTAAACAGTTATAACTTTATGAACAAAAAATGAGATTAAGATATTATTATTATCCAAGCCTTGTAATAGTACAAGTCTAATACATTATATAGGCAGTACATTGAATATAATTTCTTTAACAGAACACAAGAATGAGACTTGAATAATTTAAAAATCAAACTAGATAAAAGAAGAGAAAATCCTAATTAGAATTATGCAAACTCCCTGTATTTTTAAATTATGTACTGAATAATCACTATAAATAATTCCTAAATTTACTTTGCTTACAAATATTTAAACTTTAGAACCCCAAAATATATAACAAAACATACAAACAAAAAAGAAAACATTTCAATCTTTGAGGCTGTCCGTATACACCCACCCTTAAGAAAAATTTAAACTTACCCTTGATTTTTCAGGAAATCATCAAGCTGTTAAACATCTGTATAGTATTGGCCTCCATTACTGTCAATAGCAATTCAGTCCATAAACTAATTACACTGTTTGAAAAATACAGTTTTTGTAACTGAAGCCTATACTCTTTGTTCATGAATCTTACACTTGTGTTCTTTTGTCTTCAGAATACAGCAAAAAAAAAATTTGAGGCTTTTATTCCATCAGTCCTCCAGATAGTCTCGTAAGATTCAATATAGTTGTCTATTACCCATCATTTCTCAACAGAAAAGAGATACTAACCTATCCATATGAGGTCATCCTAGTAACCATTTCCTATAAGTCAGTATCCTTTCTTAGCTAAGGAGATTAAAACTGTACACAGTATTTCAAGTGAAGCCTAAGTAGAGATTTGTATAGAGATAATTACCACATTTGACGTAATAAATATATAAAAATATATCTATAAATACATCCTAAAATTTTATTAAGTTCACTACCAGCAACAAAACACTGGTCTGATGACTTGAGTGACTTATTTACCATTAATTTTTTTATCAGTCATGCTATTTAGTGGGTTTTTCACATATATTAAGTGAGTGCTCCAAACTATGGTAATCTGTTAACCCAAACGCATTACCATGCATTTGCTTTAAGTAAGGGTTATTTACTAAATATTTGTCCAACTTATCACTTGATGCAAATCATTCTATAAGAACTCAATACACCCAAAATTTAAAGTCATCAGAAAACTTTACTAATTATACCCCCTGTCAGTGTTAGTGATGTAAATGAGAAAAATAAAAGGTCCAAGCACTGGCCTTCGAGGCACTCCACCAGTGAGTCCAGGTTGACTTACTTCAATAATAATAATGATATTTTGATTTCTCCCCTCCAACCATCCTACAATCCATTTAATTAGTTTTCCCCAACCTCTATCAATATAATTTTCATTGCTAATCTCTTTGTGGCACATTATCAAAAGCTTTTTTGAAAATCCAACTATACTAAATCCACACCCTTTCCTGTTTTTACATAACTAATAATATCCTTGAAAAAAGATAACATTTTAGTTTGGCAAAATTTCCCTTTGGTGAATACATGGTTGTTTCTTGAGAATTTTTAACAATGTTGTTTTATGGTTTTATTTGATGTATCTGTGTATGTTTTTTTTTTATCCTTTAGAATATATTGCAACTTGAATTCCAAGTCAGATTTGCTGTACTTTCGTAGCAACTGAATAGAAACCCTACAGTGACACTAGACATTCGTACAAGGAGAGAGATAATACCCATCATGTCCAGCAAAGTTCCGTCAAAGTTTAAAGGGAAACAAGCTCCCAATACAATATCATTTCGATTTAATCCCATTGAGGAAAATCTAGAGGTGTTAAGTGAACGAGAATCAACTTTACAGAAAACTAATGAAAAATTGGTCACGGAAGATTTCCCTGTGGAAACAAAAGTACTGCACAGCTCTACGTCTTTCAGTGATAAAGAAGTAAGGCCTCCACAAAATAGTACGCCACTGACTGACCATAAAAGTGTTGAAACAAAATCATATCGTTTTACACCAGAAACCAAAGATGTAGAAGTTAGAGAGGCACAAGATTCTTCATTGGATGACAATAGTAGTGAAGTAGACCCCAAACCAATAGAAAAAACCAAAGTATCTCACACATCCTCAGCTCCTTTATCCAACAAAGATGACAGAGAATCTTCCCCTATGAAAGAATGTGTAAAAGAATATTTTTCTAAACTTGGCAAACGTTCCTCCAGTTTTGAGTCAGGTACAGTCGTAGATGGTGAGCCCAAATCATTTTTTAGTGAAATAACTGAACGCTTTGCAAAGACTCTTCATGAAAAGATTAACAAAGACTCGGTTTCTGGTGCTTTTCCTAGGAAATTGGATGGAGAAAAGAAATTATTCAGTTTTACTTCTCAGGAAGATGAAAACAGCTTTTTCTCAGAGCACAAAGCAGAAGTTGAAGCTCAATCATCAGGACCAATAAAAGATAGTGAACACATATTGAATGAAAGTACTGAAGGGATAGAGAAAGGTAAAGAATGTTTTCAAGAAGAAGAACTTTGTTTTGATGATCAGCCTGGGTTAAAGATGGAAAGTAAAATTTCATCTTCTAGTCCCAAACTGTCTTCAGGTTCCAGAGGATCATTAACTAGTGTTTCTTCTCTGTCTCAGAGATTTAGTCGTCAATCTCCAACCAAGAGTAATATGTCATCATCAGTAACCCTGTCATCCTTAATAGCATCGCAAACATCATTTCCAAACCATGATGAAGACAGTGATGAAGAGTTATGGGAATTTATAGCACATGAGGAAAAAGTAGATGCCCAAATTTCACAGCCTGTTGGTGTTGAAACATGTGATACATCGGAGTCTATGCAGCAAACTGGATTGTTTAAATGTTATGTAGGCATCATGAAGGATTGGTGGAAATCTGGCCTAATAGCATACACTAAAATTTGTAATGTGTTTCACAAACAATTAATTGTAATTCTGGTTGTCTTTTTGGCTTGTGCAGTTGTCCCTATGCCATCATATCTTTTAGGCTTTATCACGGGCTCAGTTCTGTCAGGATTTCTTTGTTATGTATACTGGTGGGTATTTAAACCTCCCAGTGAAAAAGAGGTTCTCAAGATTCCAAACTATGAAACAGAACCTCCATTAAAGATTCCAGTGAAAGCTTCGGAAGAACAGGGTTTGGTCATTCACAAGGTAAGAAAATTGTAGTTGTTTCTATAATCACATATCATCTTCGGAGATAAATTATATATAATTTATATAACAACCTACCACAATTCCCACCAAAGAATCTGGACATTTGAAAAATGGGTAATTTTGTTGTTTTATACTTTTGATTTGGTTATAATTAATGACTGAATGCAGGTATGTTTACTTCTCAGGATCTGGTATACAGTCTGGATGTAGAATAATGTCTTCGAAACATTCCTAGTCCTGCAAGCAAGCTCAACACTTGTAGAGTATTTCAAATGTTGATAACTGATATTTTGGGAATGTTTTTTTTTTTTCCTAAATGTACAGTTTATGTATTTTGATGAATACAAGCTTGTGTAAAGTGAGATATACAGTTACTTTGTGTGATGTAAAGTGTAAAAACTATACATAATCGTATTAACTTTCCATTTATTGAAGATGGTTACTTCTGGTCTTTGTTCCGCACTACATTCTTCTTAGTACTACCTCAGCAATGAGATCTGACTGTACATGAAAATAACTGAAAAAGGAGCATTATTTAACTGTTGTTGTACAGAGGCAGTTAAAAAACGTCTTTATTGTAATACATTTCCAACTATACTGTATAACTATCTTGATAGCAGTTGGTTACTCACATCACTCTCTGTGCAGTCTTCAAACTCAACTTTTGAAAATATAACTTAAAATACATTTCTAACTATTTCATCACTTTTTTTTTCTCTGAAGAACGTTTAATAGAATAGATATTTAACTATTATATAATGCTTATTTAGATTATTTCATGAACAGTAATTCAACAAATGTTTAAACTTTCATTTCTGTCACATGTGTACCTAACTAGATATCTGAACAGTTAAGATAATATAGATTTCATTTTTTTACTGTTTTCTAAAATTGTATTTATTTTTCACAAACACATCTGAACATTTGTGTCTTCTGACTGTTTAACTGTTGATCTCAATTTGTTATACCACTTCCAGAGTTCTTGATCAGTTTGAGTGGGTTTTAACTTCGAATAGAACTAAAGTGTTAAGGAAGTAATTAGTCGTTTCTGGTCTTTCGTGTCCCATAGCCAACAATACAATAGTTTGTTTGAAAAATATGAAGTTAGTATAGCCAACGGTAATGGAGTAACCTGAAGAAAAAGTTGTTACGTACTCTTTTAACATTTAAAATCAAAATATTGTTTTATAATTTCATATGTTCCCTTTTTTTTTGTAATAATCATTCATGTTATTATGTTCATTGGAAACGTACAAAATAATATTCTATGATATCAGGTAAGGATATTCTGATTTGGCAGGTATGGTAATCTAAGAAAGCTATTCAGATGACATAAAACTTATTATCATTGACTCTACTGTTAAGTTTCTTGTATTCAAACACTAATTTGATACTGATCTCCACCAAATAGGTTGTCAAAATATTATGATATGACATCCTACAAAAGTAAACAGTGGAAGGTGAGGTCATTGGGATCGGCAATAAATCTTTTTTTTTTTAGTCTTGACATACTTGCATGACTTGTAGTGAAAGTTGACTGTTTCATTCACCAAAGTAAATATTCTGACGAATGTCTTAACAAGTTAAAAATGGTTCGATATTTAATCTTGAACTTTATAAAGCATAGTAGAGATTAGCAAGTCTAAGACTAGAAGTATTTTATTGTTTTTTTCTAAAAAGTATTTAGCAACAAACTTTCATAACCTTACAAACTTAAAAATCATAAACATACTAAATCAAATTTTACGAATTTTTTTACCTGGAAATCAGACACTGTTGAAAAACTTTGCACCAAGTTTCGTGCAATGTGGTTAATTATTTTTTTTGTTCTTTGCACCGCCACATTCCAGTGAGGATAATTCTATAAACTTGGTAGCCTAATCGCTTACAAATCCTCTTATATAAAGGAAATTATTATTCTAATTGCTATTTTGTATAGGAAATGGCAAGTGAGGAAATAGTATTTTTGTATATAAAAGACAATCCGTCCCAGAATTTAAATAATACACAAATTCTATAGGTGAAAATGTTCTTATTAAAGGATTATATAACATTTCAGCTAGAAACTTGATCTTGCTACTAGCTGTTTTTGATATTAACTTTTATAAGCGTAATGTGTTCAGAGAGGGTTTCAGGTGTAGTAATTCCAACATGTTTTCTATGACTAAATTTTAGTGAGGATCCACAAATGTTTCATTAATGTGTTGTCACTTTCAGTCACTAGTTATCAATCAGAATTTAATTTTTGTGTTTTCTGATTGATTTCGTTACTCCGTGTTTCATTTGGCCTGAATTTCTTTTCATAACATTTACTACTGTATCTGTAATGTGTTACTTATATGGGAAACAACAAGTCAAGAAAAAAAAATAGGACAATAATATGTAGCAGGTGGGGCAGTTTGCTTATCATTTGTGCCAGGATGATAACGCTTGTATGTAAAAGGTTGGGTAACTTTCTTATCATGAGTTTTGTGGTTGGTACGAGGAGCATTATGCCAGACTTGTGCCAGATCATGTGTACTTGTTACTCTCACTTTGCTAGTGTCCCTTAACAATCTCCCTTTCAAGAACTTTTCCCTTTGTTTATATGTTTTTCTCTATTATTTTCTCCCAATGGCCAATTTTTCTGACTCACTGTTTATATTCTGCATATTTAGATGACCTATGAGTACTCAAGTTCTGTTTATTACGTACAATTTTTGTGATAATGCTAGACTTTTATCGTCATATCAGTTTTTATAATAATCACGTACTTTCCCATAAAGTTTAACTTTTCAAGTCCCTAACCCAATTAGGCGAGTGACTATAGAAGGTAACTAGTTCAGAGCCAGCAAAGCATGATTATTCTGTTACTGCTGTTGTTTGTTTACTTGCAAAAAGTAATAAGCAAATATTGTGCAATCCAAAGTTGTTGTTTCCAAATTTCTAATCCCTAAATATAACGATAGTCAACCTGTATTATAAGTTTCAACCCTTTGATACGAGTTAACTGACATCATAAATGTAGACTTATCACTTATAAAAAATTCCTTCAAAAGTTAAAAGTGTAACTGTAGCTGACACATCTTAAAAAAATAAGATATATATTCATAATTATCACATCATTGAAAAATGAAAGTTGTTAGTGTATATTTATAATTATCACAACATTTAAAAATAAAAGATGGAAACTAAAATTAGACACTGAAGTTCTAATTGAACTAATTTCACTCAAATAGTTTTAGGCCTTAACCTCGTCATATACTTTAAAACACAAGTCATGGTGCGGTATTTGTACACTGTACTTTTAAAACTTATCAGCTTACAAATATACATAAAAACATTAATATGTTCAAAATCCAAATATAGTAAATAGTTACTAAATGTTATTTAATTAATAAACATATTAAATATTGTAAGTGTAGTGTACACATATTGATGGTTCGTGTAATGTTTTTTCACTGTTAGTGTACGTTGCTTTGTTAGGCCTGTAACATTATCTTCTCAGTGTATTTCTTTCTGACATACAGAACAAAACATCTTGCCCCCCTTCAGTATGATATTGAAGTCCTGGGTAAGAGTCTTGAAAAGAAGGTTTTGTCTTTCATTTGTATGTTTTTTTTTTAATTCCTTATCATCCAGAGTGCTACTTGTTTTACTCTCGTGCTTGCCAGCAACACTAAGCCTAAAGAAAAGCATGAGTTAAGGTGTTGGTATATGTAATTAGTCTTGTATTATGGGGTTTTTGTTGATCTTTAAATAATGAGAGTAACATAACTATTTATGTATTATTGGATTCCACAGTCAAAAATTAGTATATTTACACTACAATTTCATTGAAAACTTGTGATATTTTATTGTTAAAGAAATGAACTTGCATAGATACCTATGAAAGTAAAGAAGAGATGGTACATTCCCATTGGTTTTAAAGTAACATATCTAATATATAACAGACTGTTGCAAAGCCAATGTATCATCTGTTTACCATTCCAATTCATCATTTTTGGACAAGCTGTTAGTTGGACTTGGGCAGACATATACAGTACTGTGCAAAATTGTAAGTCAAAAGTTAGATTTCAGGCTACTTTCAAAGAGCCCCCCAGTGGCACAGCGGTATGTCTGCGGACTTACAACGCTAAAAACCGGGTTTCGATACCCGTGGTGGGCAGAGCACAGATAGCCCATTGTGTAGCTTTGTGCTTAACTAGAAACAGATACTTTCAAAGAACAGTGGAAGGTAAATCACAGGTGAAACATCAAAATTTTATTAATCTTCATACTTAGTACAACATAAACTCGGTGGAAGTGCTTGAGTTCAGCAAACAGTTAATATTTGGTGTGTTCCCCCTTTTGTTTTAGTAACTGCAGACTGTCTTTCAGGCATTGTTTTAACATATTTAATCAAAGTGTCCTTTGGGATTTTACTCCAAATGTCTCTAATACACTCCCATAAAGTTTCTTTGGAAGTAACTTTTGATTTGTCAAGTTTTTGATCTATCAACACCCAGATCTGCTCAGTTGGGTTGAGATCGGGAATCTGTGGAGGCCATTGCATCAATTGAGTGACTCCAGCAGCTTCTTTCTTAGCTAAGTAATTTCTGCATAGGATGGATGAGTGTTTGGATCATTATCTTCTTGGTAGTAGAATCCTTTACCAATAATACACATGACCAAATATTCCATTCTCGTTGAGTCTTCTTGGTAGTGTAGATCTGGACACTTTCCTGTCATTTGGTACATGGTCGTTTATCTCATGCTTGAGATCAATGGCAGTTTTTCTTCTGTTCCAAAGGCAGCAGTATCATTACGTTTAGGTTTTCTGCCTCTTCCTATCCTATTTTCAAATTTACCTGTCTCTGTTTCACAATCTAGGGTGTACATGACAGTGTTTGGGGAGCATTTCATGTCTGCAGCAATTTGTTGGAGAGTCCAACCAGCATCACGTAAAGCTTTTATGCGAACTCTCTGCTCTACTGACAATTTTCTACACTTTTTGGGTTGTGGCATAACAACAAAATTTAATATATATAGTGTTAAACACTGTTTTTATCAAGGTTTATTTGTGGACTGCTATTAAATTGATTTCTTCTAGCATATACTGGTACCATATGCTAGTT